AAGGGAATTAAAAAGGAGCTTAAGTATTCCGTCTAATAATCATCAATCGTCTTACTTCAAAATTTAATTTATTAATATTCTCGGGTAGCTATGGTTTATGAAAACCCTAAGCGAACATGCTACACATTTTAGTTCGTACATATCGGAGAGACTAAAACACATGATAGTTTAAGCCTGAGAGTATAATCATAAACTATTTTAACCGACTTCAAATAAGAGGAGGTTCTCAATTCGATTGTAAGTTTTTTTGTGTGTATGTTATGCGATATCTTCGCAGATTGTAAAGTAATTTTGATAATACTTTTTTTTATTAATAAGGTTACGCTTCAAGGATGGTCCAACAAAACATTTCACTCCTAAGGGTTTCTAAACTCACCATACGAAACACAGCAACGTTGAGCTACTATTTTACGCTGGCATTTTGTGTGAGCGTAGTCCTTCCTCGGTCAAGCCGATCAATTCTTGCTACAACTATACCAGAAATATAGCTGTAGCACGGCTCTACCAAGTAAAAAATATATTCCAAGCAAGTACTTGACTAGTACATATTTATCAACCTGCACACAGTCTATGCCTGGGAAAGGGCATTTAAGTTATTAAATAATTACCAAATTACTAAGTAATTATTTAATAATTTAAAAGCCTTTAAATTATTAAATTATTCCCAAAATCACCATGCTTAACAGGTGAGTGCGAACAATATTACCGGGTCACGGTTGATAATAGAATTCGTTCAAAATTTTTTCACTGAAAGCAGCAATGTTTCAAAATGGGCCAGGTCTATGTACATTACCTTAAAAAAGACAAAAATCTGTAAAATTCGGTAAAAATAGATAATTCATTTAAATCTATCTTATCGTGGTAAACAATTGATGTTTATCAATTATTTTATCGACTTTCAACATGGTGTCTCACCGATTTAGTTACTCTGTGATTAGGTATAGACAATGACAAAAAAACAAGTACCTACAAGAACCTGGCCCAATAAAGTTAAAAAAGTAAATTTACATCCTTTAAACATCCCACTGCTGGGCACAGGCCTCCCCTCATATCCGAGAGGGTTGGCCCGGCCTTACCTGGCCCAGGCTCCATACATTTTGAAACATCTAATTTCACAGAATAAAGTATTGACTCTGCACTAGAGTACTTAATCAACCCGCTTCCTTACTACAGTGAGTAATTTTTTATTCAATTGCCACATAATGCCAGCATGCTATAATTGAAGAATTCTTGGAGAGTTGGAAAGATCTTTACCTAGCAAGCGTCGTAACTGCACGGTGTACTATGGCAATATGGGTATATTTATCTATTTGTGTGGGGGGGGAATTTTTGTTGGGGGCTCCCTTGTGTCCTCAGGTTTGGGGGGAGGGTTGTTTTGTTTTTTTCTGTGAGGAAATCCATGCAATAAGCTTATGTTCAGCAATGGACTTTAGATATTTTTAAAGGATATTAACAATGCTATAAACATTACTAATATTCCCCTTAAGAGGATATAGTAAGTCAGCTCAAATTCTAATTTGGCCCCCACATCCCCGCGCGTCGTATGCTATGTACCGACATGTTTGTAATCACTAATACTGTAAGTAGATAGGTCGTTAGACACTTATTTCATTAGGTTTATCATATTTATGCCTGTTTCTTAACGCCAACCCAGTCGCTTCTTATTTTTATTACGGTTGTTTCCCATTTTAATTTTACGTCGTCCTGTTGCGTAATGTGTATTCTGATCGTAAGCGACACAACTTCCCCCTTCAAAGGCCGAAGTAAAACTGACCGGGCGGCAAGAATCAAGCTTCAAGATGCCGATAGTTTAGGTAATTTCTTTTTACAGTGAAAATAATGGTATTTTAAAAAAAGTAAATAACATAAGCACTGCTTTATAGTTAGTTCAGTTAGTATGCAAATTTTCATGATCTTATTTAAAGTATTTTATGAATAATAGCGGTTTATTGTTTATTTTCGAGGTAACTTTGGATTTTTTTTTTATCGAGAAAATTTTACGAAATCGTGTTTTCGTCTAACATAGTCCTTAACATTAATCCTCAACTTATATATACCATATATTTATTTCAAAATTAATGCTGCAATATTTTCGGCATAACTGAGGACTTGCTAAACCATTTGAGGTTATATTTCCCCTTAACCAATCGTGGTAAGCTTAAATTGCTTTTTTTACGAATGGTTGACGCCAGTAGTCGAATGGCGGATTCGAACCCACGACCTTTATTGAGTTCGCGGTCAGCGCCCTGCCATTAGGCTACTGTCGCTTCCGTTACGAATGATGAATTATTATCAAGTAGTGAAATTAAATTTCAAAGTTGTTAAAATTAGATATTAAGCATTACCTCATTTTCATAATAAATCCTTCAACTGCTTCTCTTTATCCGGATAGAATTGGCCATTATCGCTACACTGGGCGATACCAGAAAAATATATTTCGTATCATCTTTTGTTTATGAAGTATGTTAAAAAACTTATACACAACTTTTACAATACCTACGACATCGAGAGGAGGTTTTCCACCGCATGGCAAAGTATAGTATTTACTGTAACTATTACGACCGATTAAAGTCCACTGCTTATCATACTCCCCCCCCCCGCCGCCATAGATTGAGAGGTTATTTGCCATAGTTCCTACGCTTGCCAAGCGGATTTGCAATCGCAGCTTTTTTTTCTTCCTTCTTTTTTTCTCTATTCTTGTATTTTAGTCGTTATTTGGTAGAGGTTGCTGCCCATCTCCTGATTTGTTTCCCTCTGTCTCCTCTTACGACACCCACTGGATGATATGGGGTAGTGGATATTTTTATACCGCCACGGCACATTAAATTAATAAAATAAGGTTGTACAAGCGTTTGAATTAATTGGTGTACTACGTGCTTATTTTACAGCCCAAATTTTACTTTAGAAATTTATAATAAATTCATAACAAAGTTACCGAGTTCTCTTGACAAAATTCAATACATAGTTAAGTGTACTCAACAACGTTAACAGAAACTAATAAAACCTTAACTCGCTTTATCCTCGACAGGCTTAATTTTACGAACAATACTTAGCGATAACATTTTGGGACCTTTATATTGGTAATTGCTTTAAAAGGGCTTCTATTGTTATCTTACAAAAACATAAAAGCTAATAAATTTAGGAATATAATACAAAGTTATTTATATATATTTCTTTATAAAATTATTGATATTTAGATTTTTTCACTGCTTAGTAACGTTTTCATTAATGAAATTAAATGAACTCTTAAGTTTAATAAAAAACCTCATGGCTGGAAGTGTTCCATAAAATTAAAATTAAAACATTATGTTATTAAGAAAATATTGTAAGGCAATCATGCAAGCTGAAAATATATTGAAATGAAATGCAGTCAATTGGAATAAAAATATCTGAGTGGAGAACTTTAAAAAAAACCGTATTGTGAGATGCATGCGCATACCAGCGATTGGAATCGTAAAGCCAATTAAATCAAGCAGGCGTAGCTAAGGTGTTTGGGGTCCTATGCTCAGAGTCTGGTATTGATAATGTTACTACTAACATTTTGCAATTAATGACAATTATCTTATTATATCATTCATTACAGGTCTTCATTACAGGTAGCATTACAGCATATGAAAGCTTACTGCTGGACATAGGCCTCCTCGTAGATTGCTTCTTGAGGTGAATGTTAACCGTAGTTCTAATCGCTATATATTTTTCCATCTGGCGCCTCCCTTCGACATCCTAGGGACGACATGTGGTAGTGGATATTCTTACACCACCACTAAACGGACTTATTGAAGTGAAAACTTCTTTAGCGGCGTTGTATATTTTTTTTGTAATGGGTAGAAAATGTTAAACTCGCGTCAGGACACGTGACCCGATCGAAAATTCGTAAGACGGATGGAGAGTAGGTTGATTTATCTGAGAGATAAACTTTTTAATGTAATAAAAAATTGTTATGTTTGTGTACGATAGCGTAATAGAATTTTATTCTACCTTAATTGTATTCTACCACATAAATGATAGTACTTTTAAAATGATAATTAAGGGGAAATATAATCTCAAATGGCTTAGCAAGATCCTTCGTTATACCGAAAATATTGCAGAATTAATTATGAAATAAATATATGGTAAAGTTGAGGATTAATGTTAAGGATTATGTTAGACGAAAACACGATTTCGTAAAATTTTCTCGATAGAAAAAAATCCAAAGTTACCTCCAAAATAAACAATAAACCGCTGTTATTCATAAAATACTTTAAATAAGATCATGAAAATTTGCATACTAATTGAACTAACTATAAAGCAGTGCTTATGTTATTTACTTTTTTTAAAATACCATTATTTTCACTGTAAAAAGAAATTACCTAAACTATCGGCGTCTTGAGCTTGATTCCTAGTGTTGCCAATTTAGCATATTATATGCTAAATTTGACATATTTTCTTCTTGTTTAGCATATTTTTTTTGCTTTTAGCATATAGCATATTATTTCAGCATATTCTTATAAAACATGAAAAGAATGTAAATCACAATCTTTCTCGAAATAAAATTTGATATCGATACCTACCTCAATCAATTTCCCACTTCACTACTAGTGATTCACTAGCATGGCAACCCTTTTTTGAAGCGAATATAATATTCTCTGTGCTACGGGATTCCCCTTAGACATAGAGAATGGACTGAGCCCTTATTCAGGTATAAAGTAAATATGGACGAAGTACAAGAGAGACAAAGCGAATGTGCCGCCAGTTATTGTCTCTTTCTACGCCTTACCTGCGCCTTGCAGAAAATACACATGTATTGGCCGCGTATTCACTTTGTCTCTTTCTAGAGAGTGGTCAGTTTTGTGAGGGTGATGTCTATGGGATAGAATTCCCTTACTATTATCCATTCCCCAGCGCCTACGTCGCTTTCTGTCAAAAACATTGTTTATTGTTGTGGATGTGGACTCACTCATATCGTCGTCTCGTCTTATCCGTGTTTTCGTGTTCCTTTTTTATAATTTGATATTTTTATTATGGTGCCTAAGTATAGTCAACATTACCGGGCAGACTGGGAGAAAATGGCAGACTTTAAAGAGTGGTTGCAGCCCGTTGAAAACGATACTTCGAAAGCGTACTGTAAGTATTGTAAATGCGAAATGATTGCAAAATTGTCTGTTTTGAGGCTACATATTTCATCAGCAAAGCACAGAAAAGCAATAGAGCCAATGAAGAGTCAAAAAAAAATTCTTCCCTAAAGTAAAAAAAGATCTGAATACCCAGAAAGCAGAATCTTCGCTGGCTTTGTTTGTTTGCGAGCACTGTGCAATTATGGCTGTAGATCATTTATCGGAACTATGCAAATACCGATTTGTCGACAGCAAATACAGCGACATCAAGTTACATCGAACCAAATGCACGAATATTATTAAAAATGTTTTGGCACCACACTTCATTCAAGAAATTGTGACAGATTTAGGAGATCAGGAGTACAGTCTCTTAATCGATGAATCGACAGATATATTGGTACTTAAAATGCTTGGTGTTTCGATAAGATATTTCAGCCGATCATTAAAAAAAGATAATTTCCACATTCTTGGGATTAGTTGAGATTGAAGACGGAACTGCAGTCAGCATAGTGAACGGCATTAAAGGATTGTTGGCAGAAATAAAAATAAATTTAAAGAAATTGATCGGTATCGGCACGGATAACGCTTCGGTCATGACAGGAACTAACAGTGGAGTGCACGCATTGTTGAAAAATGCAACTGGTAATGACAATTTAGTGTTAGTCCGCTGCGTGTGTCATTCGTTACAGTTGGCTATGTCTCATGCTTCAGCAGAAACCCTACCAAGAAATGTTGAATTTCTTATAAGAGAAACCTATAACTGGTTTAGCCATTCATCAAACCGAAGACTCTTTTACAAAAACATGTTTCAAACGATCAACGGTGGCTCCGTTCCATTGACAATTCCACAGATGTGCAATACCCGATGGATATCAATTGAACCAGCGGTCTGCCGTATTCTTGATCAATGGATAGAATTAAAAACCCTGTTTGAAATTGCCAGGCGAGATGAACACTGCTATACGGCAGAAATACTATATAACATGTATAATGATCCACAGAATCATTTGTACTTATTATACATAAGACCTATCTTACAGGAAGTTCAAGTGGTAAACAAGTTGTTTGAAAGTAACGATGTTGACCCAACAAGATTGTACAATGATTTGATTGGCTTAGTGGAATCGATAGGTCGGCGTATTCTGAACCCAACGGCAAGGGTAGATATTTTAACAGAAGACATAGAAAGCTATTTAGATCCGAAACCATACATGGGATATGCTTTTGAGACCAAATTACTTGAATACAATCTTCAGCCTAATGCAACAAACTATTTACGCCAACGTTGTAATAATTTCACACTGAAACTTGTGACAGAACTACGTTCGAGATTACCGGTTAATTTTAAAATACTGAGAAATATAGTTCACATTAAATGGGAATCCTTGACTTCCACAGTAAAGTTCTGGAATGAAGTCATGCAATATAAAGATGCAGCTGATAATAACCCCTTTGCAGAGTTATGTGAGTTTGCAATGTCTCTTATATCATTGCCACATTCAAATGCGGACGTTGAACGTGTATTCAGCCAAATGAGTCTGGTAAAAACAAAACTCCGAAACCGTTTGGCGGTGAGAACCCTGAATGCCATTTTGTACGTTAGGTTCGGCCTAAAAAGAGCAGGAAAGTGCTGTTACTCTTACACTGTTCCAGACAATGTACTACGCAGTATCGGAACCAAAGAGTATTACGACTCCGGCTCTCAGCCTTCCACATCAGCTGATGTTGATGAAGATGAAGACCTTAATATTCTATTCCCTTGATTTAATTTCTCAATAAATACTGATACTTCTTAATTATGTTGGCATTTTTTTTGGCATTTTTTAGAGAAGGTAAGCATATTTTTGGCATATTTTTTACACCAGTCTAGCATATTTTGAAGTAGTTGAGTTGGCAACGCTATTCCTGCCGTACGGTCACTTCGCTTCAGCCTTTGAACGGGGAGGTTGTGTCGCTTACGATCAGAATATACATTACGCAACAGGACGACGTAAAATTAAAATGGGAAATAACCGTAATAAAAATAAGAAGCGACTGGCTTGGCGTTAAGAGACAGGCATAAATATGATAAACCTAATGAAATAAGTGTCTAACGACCTTTCTACTTACAGTATTAGTGATTACAAACATGTCGGTACACATAGTATACGAGGCGCGCAAGTGGGGACGAAATTAGAATTTGAGCTGACTTACTCTATCCCCTAAAAGCAATTCGTGCAAAATTATTCCCTAACCATTCCAAAATATCAAAAAAGCACGCACTCCCGGAGTGCAACCCGTCGTTTTTATATTATATTTGAGTATCGTATGATGGCACTGTTCTTATTCTTCATCAGCTCGCAGATATCCTAGCGCGATCCCAGATGGACATGGACCTCTTCCACTGTGATAGATTAGGTAGATTTGTCCCATTGTTAACCTTTATACAGTGGATTCACGACCGTATTTCTGCTGACCGTAGACGGTCTGGATATTTTACAGCAAGCTTACTTTTTGTAATAAGACGGACTGTGACTTAGAACCGACTCCAAAATGTGATTTTATTATTTTAGTTCATTAAAGCTGTCATATTTATATTCCTTTATGAGGCAAACACCCAGACCGAGAAAACTTTCAGCTTTAAAAAATACAAATCCTTTGAAGTCTGCATTTAAACGAAATTGAGAACACTTTTGTCAAGTTCGTGGAACTTCATCAAATAAAGAAAGGAATCTTTGATAACCTTGTCAGCGTATGATATAAGAGAAAATGGTACCAAAACCAATTTTATTAATCTGAATGCTTGTTTAAGGGAATCCCCACAATTATCGACGCAGAATCGGCTTAAAACAAGTGCGTATCACCACACTGCACCACAAGCTATAGGCAGTCTATTCCTTCGGAAGGCCGTCACAACGGCTGTTCACTTACATTTTCTCAGAACGGCTGTCGCGACCACTGTTCATATTTCACTGTTGTTCAACGCTATTTGGTCGTCTTTTGCGCCGTTTGGCTGCCGTCAGAGATGAAATAATTCGAGCGGATCACTTCAACTTCGTTCGGCCGTTATTGGCACAGTTCGGCTAACGTCGGAAATTTAACGTCTACGTGTGCGTTCGGCTACTTTCCGCTCGTTTTGCCGTCGGCTGACGTCACGATACGTCAGAGTCGTGGCCATGAGGATGACATTAGCAACACACGTATTTTGTAGGTTTTTCTGGCCGACTGAAGCCAATTTCGCGTCGATAAATGTGGGAACTCCCTAAGTGTTTTTAAAATACTTAAAAGCATCAATAATAGCATCCATTTAAATTCACGTACAGTACTTTTTATTAAAACGTATCTTTTTAAGTTTTAATTTTTGTCCAACAAAGGTAAATTAATAAAAAAATATTTTTGAAAAATGTATTTATTTTTAATTTATTGTGCTTCTCGTGTTTATAAACTCGACCAATTCGGCCCATTAAATTTAATTAATGATGTAACGTTCGAAAACATACAATACTAAAACATTATCGTACAAAAATAAATATTCACTTAAATTTTTAAAATAAAACAGAAAACAAGAAACAACATTTTTACAACCGAAATAATAATCGAAATTAATTCAATTGTTAAATAAATTATAAACCACAAGAAGAATTAAAACTGCTTATTTTCAATTATTCGTTTCGAATAAACACTAATAAAAGCTTATAATGGATACATATAATATTGACTCGTTCAAAAATGCTATGATAGGAGTAATGAATTGACATTGCTGTGTGTTTTAAATGAATGTAGAACGTGTGAATCATGAATAAAACTAATTTTACGAATTATATCGCGTAAAATAGGCTTTATTCGTAGAGCAGCATTCGCGTAATATAAGAAATCATTTTATGTGTGAATCATAAGAGTGTTAATGTTATATTATGAATATGAATAAATTCCTTCACAAATTGAATAATACGAATTTTATGGATTTTATCGTATATAATTTAATTAGTGTTCGTTCTTTAACCTTCCCCTCGTGACCATGGCTACTTTAAAGTACTAAGTTAATTGTAGCCCAATAAAATCCACAAAATTGATTATATTCCCTGTTTTTGTTTGAATATTAGAAATTAAAAAAAATACAAGAATGTAAAATAACATTTTTATAGTTCACGTAATAAATGTAATATTAATTGAAATTGTCACAATTATAAGTGGAATAAATATAGATATTTGTCGATGACAAGTAAATTAAATACAGCACCAGAGAAAAGAAGAATAGAACATGATATATCTTCTGGAAGGGAGACTTGTGACTTTAAATTTTAATGCAATACAATACCGATACCTAGAACGTGATATGATTACAAAATTCAACTTACTAATGTACCTAATTAACCTTTACCTACTGTTTTTACAATATCTACAACTTCAGTGAACCGAATTATATTTTTTAACTTTATACATTAAAAATAATTTTAAGTCATTTTATATAATTCAATTCAATCATAATTTAGGACTAGTTTCGAATAACTTACTAAGGAAAACAACTACATCTACAAGTTTATGGTCGTAAATTATGTACAAAATTATTTCTTTAACTATAGTTTTAAATACCATTTCAATGAGGCCTAAATTGGCAAGACTTTTTTTTATATAAACAAGAGATTAAATCTAACCAAGGGGTTTTCCTACGCATCAAAGACTTTTGTACAGATTCATAGAAATATAATTACTACAGGGTATTTTCGCAGGTCCTTTGTCATTCACAAACACTTAATTAAAGAAGGCAAAAGGAGGCCGTACTGAATATCAGTTAAATAGGCCGAGAGATAAAGTAAATTCTAGTAAATGCTCATTGACTTATTGACAATTCTTCATATATATGTAATATAGTATTACTGTTTAAATCGCAACCATTAAGGTATACGATCATATATCACTCAAATTTCACATAATCACTTTATCGTTCATGACATTGGAATTTCAGCTGACAATCGGTGTCTGGAAGAAGCCCGAGTACCGCAAGTTCCGCATGTATTGTTGCTGTAGCCAGAATCGGATCCAAATGAGGAATCGCCACTAGGTGGCTTAGGTGATGCCCGCGGACCGCGCCAATACGCGATTCCGGGCAGTTCGCCTCCGGGCCACGCACCTCCAGCTGCCATCGGCATAGGCCCCGGTGGTCTTGCACCAACAGTGCCAACCTGAGGGTATAGTCTTAACAGGGCATCCAAGAGCACACCTTCATGGAACTCTGAAGGATCCGGTGGGTGTAAGTGTCGTGGCATTCGATGGTGGCCACGTCGTCTCTCTAGTGACTTAGGCCTTCGGTCTAAGCGCTGGGGCCGTTGACGGTGCGGTAATGAATGTGGGACTGTCGGTCTGGAGCAGGTTCGACACGGTGCAGCTTCTCCAACGAGGCTCAATTCATCTTCAGCGAAGTGATCATCACTGTGTACAGAATCGTCTGATCTATGAGGAAGTTCCTCATAGAGTGGAGCTCCACAAGTATCACCTCCGCAAGGGTTGCCGCCTCGCCAAGAGCCTCCTGTATCACAAACAAACACTCGTCCTTGGCAGGTTGGTCGCTTGGCTTCTACCATCTGGAAAGAGCAAAGCATCATATTAGTTTTGGTTTCTAAAAAAATTTTTCACTGTTTAGTACCTACAAGCTTAAGTAATAATCAACAGTCTTTTTGAAGTCCATGATTGGACTTAGACTTTTCTATAAATATCCCCCTTTCCAAACTATGTAATTAATATATTTTTGGGAAGTTTACTCACACTTAACACGGTTTGGTGGGTTAATGAGTACAGACACCCCGTACAGGTAATGCCGCTATTTATCTCCAAAAAAATTTTTGTTCAGTATTTTCTGATATAGTTTAGTTGCTGTCAACGCGGTGTACTGGGAGCTGGTGATGTTTTTATTTGCGAATAGGAGAGGCTTAATTTATCTTACACTTTAATTATTTCAAGTAATTATATTTAAAAAATAATGACTATTATCACAATTTCATAAGTGGAGAGTACGATGCAGCTACATTATGGTTGCAAAACGAATGGCTGGGCTCGACCGAGGAAGGACCACGCTCTCACAGACCACCAGCGTAAAATAGAAGCACAATGCTGCTGTGTTTCCGGACCGGAGATCCTTTTTACTAGAAACGAGGCATTCCACCTTGGTCCTCTGGGATGACACGTATCAGACAGAAAGAAAGAAAGAAAGAAAACATTTTGCTCAAATACGCCACATGTACATTTAAACCATAAACATAAAAAATACATAGTAAAAAGAAAAAAAGAAGAATAAAAAAAATATAAAATATTAAACACATCACACATTTTACGCACGCAAGTGTGTGTGGCGTACACGGCAAACAGACCGCACTCAGCTTAATCACCACCTTAATAAAATATATATCTACATGGCAGAATAGTGAGGATATACCCACTAGGTTGTGGTGCTGAGTTCACATACCAGTCGAACATTATTCTCACCTGAACTTACGAAGCACAGCAGCATTGTGCTTCTATGTGTTTTAATTTATAATTGAGTATAGATTTGGATGTCTAAGGGCCACAGCATCTACTTAACATCAGATGAACCAGTATGCTCGTTTGTCACCCGATTTTGTTAAACAATATTAAACGTAAAATATAAAATAAGTTAAAATTTATTTATCTAATACATCATTATGTCTTTTTTAAGTTTAATTATTAGTCTAAGGGTTGATTTTTCAATCATCAAATTAATAATATTTATTCGTAAGATAAATAATGATACAGGTATTAAATACTACAA